AAGAAACAGAAATTGTTTTTACGATTGACGTCTTTTAATATAGAGGGTATGTATACATATGTATCTCTTTCCTCTTTCTCTTCGGGATTCCCTCCGTCTCCTCGTTGTCTCCGCAACGGAGCAGACGCGCGGACGAAGAATAATTTGAGATTCATCGAAATGCAGCGGGGCGAACCGCTTGTAATTCTTTTCCACCGTCACCGACGACGACGCTGCCGCCGCGCTCTTACCCTCTTCCTCTTCGTTTTCGCCCCTTTCGTGCCAGCTTGATCCGGCCTGTCTTTTTTGTCTCGCCATTTGTTCGGAACAGTACGGCGTGGAAGTGCGGAAGAGAATTACGATAGAGCGACAATACGGAGACAGAAGGAGAGAGTGTCACGGACAGGAAGGGAAGGAGAGGGTCGAAGGAGAGAAAGGAGAGAGAGAGAGAGAGACGGACGGAATGTCGTCCCATCGCAGTTAACTTCGCTTGGAAGGTTAAAATTTCCCTCGAGGTTTATTTTAAGTTGTACGAGACGAGGCACTGGATATCTTTTGTCCCGAATCGAGAAAAGAAAATCAGAGGAGGCTTTATCGTTGCGCAATAGACTTTCGGCTTACCCTCGTATCTCTCCCTGTCTCGTGTCGCGGCGCCAAATCTTCAGCCGGTTCGCATTGCTCTTGTCGCAGGTGATAGAAAATATCAGTCGTAAGACAGAGGGAGAGATATCGAATTCTGATCTATTTCTTTGTGATATTCTCACCTAATAAAATCTTTATTCCTTTGAAGAAAATATTTAAAAAATTTCAAAACCACCAATTATTTTTATTATTCACAAATAACGAAAGATTTCATCGTTAAATGTTTCATGAATAAATAACGCAGCTTCTTATGCAACTTCGACTTTAATCTCAAAGTCAATTATAAAAGTGTAATAATGCTAAGTATACTAGAAGTCGAAAAGGTTCAATTAAATTTTTGCCACGATAGAATTAAATTGAAAAACGCCAGAGATAGAGATAGAAGAAAATGCGATGAGTTTAGAACATGCCGTGTACACGTGCTTTTACCCTTTTGTCCATTAATTATTTACCACGAGAGATACCGACTCGCCTATCCGAACTAAACTTCGAGGGGTCCGGACTTTAGTGGCCATATCTCCTCGCGTTTCTCTCTAAGTAGAGGGCTCTCGACGATAATGCCACCCAAGAAGTTAGCTTGACGATATACGAGCAAGATGTTTTACGAAAGAAGGTTCCTCTTCGACTATCTCATAAGTATAGCCATCCCAAAAGTATCCGCCATAAAATTGCGAAATCGATGCGTAGCGAAGCCAAGATACTCCACGAGCAAATTTTCGCAAATAGCACAACTTGCTTTCATTTCCCTCCTAATCCATAAGGGAAAAGTGAATTGGCTTTAAATATGTAATTTTCTCTATTTTTCACGGTGCGTTTTGCTCTTCACCAATAAATCAGTGCAATAAATCTTGTTGTGTTATAAATTAATGTAACATGATCGTTATGACGTGTCCGCAAGATAAACAGATATGTTTCACAATATGACGTATCCATTGTAAAATTTTATAAAAATCGCATAAAAATATCTCAAGTCTTTCATCGCAACTCTTTTCACGCCCGAAAGATTCAATGTAAATAATGTAATTATCGGGGATTAAAAATAATTATCGTTCTCTTCTCTATCGGTCGTAATAATAATCTCTCGCAATTAATAACGCCGATGATAAACTTTATAAAACGCGCCTGAAAAATCGTGTGGTATATTGTAGCTTTTAGTTTTGCAAGAATGATTGGCGTACTCCATCATCGTTAGCGACACTACCGGAGTTTGTTGCAACTTACTGCAACTCGTTAGCTACGATTTCAACGTTGTTTTTATAATATCCAGTATATTTCCAACTCAGTGGCATCACTGCAACCTTTCTTACACCAGCTCGCGGCAACGAGCTTTGAAGCGAGCCTTTCTTAATAGTTTTTGCGCGTCAACGATAATGAGACGCTGTTTCTAACGCGGCGTGATTCGATATCTTCATCAGCGGAGCATAAAGGAGAAATCTTTCGGGAAGCGCATATAATCAACGCGCGGTGCAATCAGTGAATGGATTAAAAATAATTTTGCGATATAAAGCGATTGTCCGGATTTGCATATAAAATGAATAATAAACGACATATCGCATCGGTGAAGAGATCGAGGGGCGGGTCGAGGGAAGGGGCACGTACCATCGGACAATTATTGTGCTTGAATCACGAACAATTGAACCGAAACTTGTTGATTTAACGAGCAAACATTCATCCACACATGCATATGTTTAACGCGCCGCTGCCGTGAAACAAAGCTGCCGGTCGCATTTTTTCGTGAAACCATTCATTTCGCGTCGACGATTTTACCGCGAGGCATTGTCGCGGCATTACCGCAACGCTTACACTCGCGTTCTCGAACCGAGCGGTCGATTCGCGGTCGAATGTGGAGGGACGGGATACGTAAGAACAGGAGGAGGATACGTCGATAATCACGTGGGAACTACAGACGCCGATTCGATTATATTCTCGATCGAGCCTCGGGGTTTATCGCGCCCGCACCGCATAAGGCCGCGGTGATTTTTCGACTTCGCCCGCGCGGCGAACCCCCCGGGGAATATTGAAATCATAACGTGGCACCCATGAATATTATTCAGGTCTTAAGGCAATATAATCCGAAATCGATGGAGCGACGTGGAATAAATTTGGCGGTCCCTCTCACCTCTCGGTGGCGCCCGGGACCTGCTGCGGAAACCGCTCCTGCCCTTCGCACGCCGGGTCCGAGGACAAACTTCGGTTCGATGATGCCGCGCACCTGAGCACATTTCCCCGATAGAAACTATTGACTGTCTTTTCGCCCTCCTCCCCACTTAATTTTTTTCTCCGATCCTTTCTTCCGGAAGGAGAAAAGGATGATAATGATTTCGGTGTCTCGTCCAAGTCGAGAGACTATCCCCGGGATTATCTGGAATGTTCAAAGCATATCTAATCTGGGATTAATAAAGCGACCAAGGTGAAGACGTGATCTCGAGATACAAAAGATCGGAGATCTGCAATTTTACCTGGATTCCCGTTTTGGAAGCATGTCGAACATACGTTCATTCGTGCGCGCCGCGCCGAGCGGATGCGAATAAAATGAACGGAGAAAATTGCGGTTACTTCAAGAATGCGACCGCACAATGGACGTTTCAATGGACGACGCGTCTTATTCGCTGTATATATTCGCTTCGAAGGATTATAATTCATTATGAGACCTGAGAAATTCTTGCTAGAGAAAGTAGTCGCTTGCAATCGATAAGATTAAATAAATTATAAGCTTAGGCTTACCATAATTATCATGTAATTCCTTGATTTAATTTTTAATACACGACAAACAAAGAATCATATTTTATAACTGTTAGATTAATCTAACATTAAGTTTCATTAGATTCAGATAAGACGCTGCGTTTCTCAAAGTCATAAATCAACTGTCTGTATAAAATGTCCCGTTATTATGACCGAGCTTTACTGATGTGATACTGTGAACATAAAGAAAAATTGCTATATGATGAATATAGAGGAAAAAAAAACCAATAAAAAATATGATAAAATATTCTGTTGACTGAACTTCACGTACCGTATGCAATAAAATACTATCAGTTTCCACCAATATCTACGAAGTCGAAAAACAAATATTTACAGGACAATATTATATGGTGTATGTTATCAATGCATATATACGCAGTGCAGGTTCCAAATAAATATTTTTGTGACCGCGAATGTAATTCTTTTCACGATTCAGATCTTCTATCATACCCGGAACTTGTATCGATTTTTTTCGAAATCGATAAAAAAAGAGATACGTATTTTTACGCCGGAAGAATTTATTCGCGAATGCACTCTTTCCCGACATTAATTTTTACATTTCGGACATCACCTCGCTGTGCGCTCTAATCAAGATAAATTATCAGAGAAACTAATTCATGTAATTCAATTAACTAGGGATTTCACAGATTCACCTACCAATCGGTCATAGATGTCAGTATATCGCGTACCGTTTATATAGCGCTTGAAACGTAAATGTAAACGTCACTCCATCATCCAGATGTCCATAATTATGGACGAGTAGACACACAATTTGTCGGCGAACTGCTATTCGAGCCGTTAGATCGCGCCTGAGCGTTAAGATAAAATTCCATAAAACGTTGAGAGAGCTATTATTCCCCCGTTCTTCTTCCGTTTCGACACGCCGAGCGTGCGATATCCGCGGCACGGCACGCGGTAGGCGTGGAGGAGAGAAATGAGAATAGGACCGAGCGTACGACGACACTCCCTCTCGAGGGTTAGCGTTAGTAAATTAAGCGTTTTCTTAATTGTTCCTCGCTCGTAGCGTCCGTTTAGTATCATTACCCACGCATTATTACGGCGCAGTAAAGCGCGCCGGGAAGCAATTATTCCGGCGGACGCAGATTTCGCGCTGCCGCGTGTCTCTGTTAGAAACAAAACCCACGGTAAGCACGGCACGGATTCGTTCGTGCGTGGGTGTTTCCTTTATTGCTTACCTTCCGGGATTAGAGCGGGATGATGACCGCGCGGGAACAACTGGGAACAGCACGTGCGTCTCTGTTTTTACCGCGAGACGAGAAACGACTGACGCGAATTGCACTTCCCTCTTTCGCTGTTTAATCTTTCGACGGTCAATTCGATGGTTAGAGATGACACATATCATTAGTTTAAGAAAAATATCACCATTTGTATCACGTATTTATTACATGATTTATTATGATGATGATTCGTTAATTTATAAAGAACAGATCGGAGAGGGGGTTACTCGATGGGCTAGAAGTTTAATAGTCCTTTATTATTGAATTTATATCCATAAATTCGATTGTTTTATATCCAATTATTAATTTATCTCTTCTATCACTTGATATGTAATGGAACTTTGACCGATAATCAGACGTGCGACAAGTTTTTTATAAATATTTCCGTTTGAATTTCAGATCCGCTAATTACATCAACGCGACCAAGCAATGTGAGCTCTCGGACATGGATAGGATGACAATTGCAGGCTCGAATGCCTTCCAGGCGGCGAAGGGAGTGGACTATTTGGAAAATCATTGCGTGGAAGAGCCAGTGAAACTTTGCGAATTTAAGAAGCTGACCGGCCGTATACTGAAAACCGTGGATTCCGTTTATCAAGACGTCGGCACATCCGATGAATGCCGCGAATTGTGTCTGAATTCGCCGTTCCGTTGTCATTCTTACGATTACGGTGACACCGGTGACATGGTCTGTCGTCTCAGTCATCATTCCCGTGCCACTCTCTCTGATATTCAGGTAGGAAAAATTTAATGATTCCGCATTATATATTGCGCGAATATCTACATGACAAATATCGCGACTGCGAGAAAATCGTTTGAATTTGTGAGAAAAACACTCGCAAACTAACTGTGAGATTGTTGCTTTGCGAAATAATGGACAATGTCATGTTCCAATTTTCTTGCTGAGTTTGCCGTACACGGTTTAATTCATTCGGTGGTGTTTAAAATAGAATCCCGTGCAGCTTCGCGGCCACCAATCGCGTCGTTTCACCCGCCGCATAGCAACACGGATTCTTGAAAGGACCAGTGGGGATTTTCTATAAATGCGATTACGTCGCACACATGCAAACCAGGTTGAACAATCCGCCGAGGGCGCATTCGTGGAAAATCGAGTTTCCATCGCAGACGCTTTTCCTATCGAAACTTTCGGGTAACACTCGGGGCTCAACCGAATCGCATTCGTATCCCGAGAGGAAATCAAAAGAAAGATTTAGCGACCACCAATTCGTCGGGTTCGATTATCTGCGCCTTTTTACAGCACCTTCGTTACAGGGACAAATACGGGGGAAACAAGCGCTAATACAACAGATTAAATACCCGACGTTCTTCGTACGAGTAATTGCTATCGTGAGATATTTAAACAGCGTCCAACGAATCGGAATATTGCAGTATGGATAGTTTACTGACCATACGGGTTTCATGCGCGATCATTCATTCGGGAGATGAACAAATAATATGTATAATGGGAGGAATGATCGTATGCGTGGGGTCCGTGACAGGCTCCATGGGGTGGTTACGCAAGCACATCAGCAGCATCTCCACAAATATACAAATTATTAACTGTGGAGATAGCGCGAAACGTCAAGAGTATTTATCAGTGTAATATTCGCGATTAATTTGTTTCATCGAAGAGGACCATCGAGCCTCGAACGAGAAGCGATAAATAGCGTCATATAAAGGGATTTCAAATAATTCTTTGAAAGTGACAAGCGCACGGGAATCGGAGCGGATTATCATTCTGCTGGATATAAATGAAAATGCGCGCGTATATATCACGTATATGCGTGTATATCATTGATAATTATTGGTTTTTGATGTATCGTATCGGGTAAATTGAAACACGACGCTTTAGATGTTGAGTGAGAATAAAGAATATGGTTAATTATTTCTACAAATAAATCGTATTATTATTTCGCGTGACATTATGTCGGGAAAGGACATCGATTCGATAAAGTACGCGATAATTCTATTTCTTTTTAGATGGAATCCCCAAAAAAAGTTTATTTAAAAAAAGATTTTAACAATATTTCGCGTGAAATTAGATTTCGCGCTCTTATTTTTATTAGTTGTGCGTGTTGTCAAATATCGTAATATAATTGCCGCACGAACTATATCACTGAAGATCCAATATACAGTACGTTATAGAATTTCGATGCACTCTTTTCGCTCGCTGTTCGAATTCTCGTCATAAATTCTCCGGGAGTTTTTGTGTAAGCCCGATGCAAGCTATCAAAATCTCCCAACCATGAGAAGCGAACAAAATAGAAGAATGATCAATAAATCGTGGGGGTAGCTCCGCGAAGTTTAATTGCGAAACATCCCGTGCTTTGCGTATTTTGGAATTTATCACTGCCGCTCGCAATAATTCCTTTAAATTAATATACTACGACAAATCGCATTAATGCGCGATACGCGTCGAATTCCACTTGGTGGGAGCGATGACTAACGGCCCGAAAACAAACGATAATTTCAGGAACCGTATCTCGACGTACCGGAAGCGTCCACGTACGAGCTGAGCTCTTGCTACAATGTGACTATCGACTGTCGCGCCGGCGACATGGTGACCAGAATTCAGACGAGCAAGCTCTTCTACGGCAAGGTGTACGCGAAGGGCTCGCCCAACTCCTGCGTGCAGGACGTCAAGGGCGCGCTCGAGTTTGAGCTTCGCATGGCGTACGACGATCTCGAGTGTAACATAAGGCAACAGAGCCTCGGCCGGTACTTGAACGACGTGATCATTCAGCATCACGACACCATTGTCACCAGTTCCGATCTCGGGCTGGCTGTGACCTGCCAATATGATCTCACTAACAAGACCGTGTCCAACGAGGTCGATCTCGGCGTGCATGGCGACATCACGCCCGCTCTGTCGGAGGAAGTGACCGTCGACTCGCCGAATGTCGCCATGAAGATCACCGATCGCAGTGGAAACGAGGCTATCCCGTCGGCCGAGGTCGGCGATCCTCTGGCGCTCAAATTCGAGATTCTCGACCCCAACAGTCCGTACGAGATCTTCGTTCGCGAGCTGGTCGCCATGGACGGCGTCGATTCTAGTGAGATTGTCCTGATCGATTCCGACGGCTGCCCCACCGACCACGTCATCATGGGACCGCTTTATAAATCAGCTACTACTGGCAAGGTACGTTTCAACATTGTTGTATAATTTTGCCATTCTTATAAAAATCCAACGTTCGACTAAATTCGTAAAAAAAAAAAAAAAAAAACCGTCAATAGAGTTAACAGTTGAATCACGCAAACGTAGTGCAAATGAAAACGGAATTATTCTTCGCGAATAATTATATCTTCCCTCTAGTTTTCCTACGTTAACGTAGCGCTTCCAGCAATGGAAAATTATTTCCAGGCGAACGAATGTACTCAGTGTTTGCGTTAAATGTTCCTCTTGATACCGTTTTCACAGAAATGTCTTGCCGCTCGATTACCTAGAGCGTTGCAGTTGTAAGTAGACGTATAATAAGAAATGCAGGGAAAAAAAAATTGCTCGAGCAAAAACTACCATTTTGTTAAAAAACTGTATTACGCGTGGGGCCAAAGGCAACGATAGAAAGTATTCCGATTCTAATTTATTCTCTCCGGAGTATCCCACGGTACTCGGAGAGTGACGAGATTTGAGATGATTAACGGCGATATCGATGCGTACTTTGCGGGAATGCGCGCGTGCCACGAAATACGTGTGCGGGTGTAAAGCGATCGGGTGGAAAAAGAACGAGATGAGAGCAGACACGAGTCAACCGGTCGATCAGACTTCATGCTAATCAATCACCCGAACGGATTTTATGACAGGAAGCAATTTGCCCGGCCTGTAATAGGTCGCGTCGATGATGCGCTGCCGTCTTGGCGATGACGTGCCGTGACATGCCGTGGCACGCGGGCACATTGATCTGACAACGATCATTATTTCCTGCGTGTTTCACATAAGAGAGCGCGAGATTACCCCTCGACGTCGAGAATTAAAGCTCAAAAGCGAGATTCGTTCGATCATCATCTTCTAAGACTTTGATTTCGATTTTTATGCGCAATTTATCGGATATTGCGGATATTGAGTAGCTTCAATATAATTTTTGCGAGAGTACGTTTAGCAATTAAGTACATTTACCGCGCGAGTTTCTCAGTCTCTACCTCTACAAAATTATAGGAGAAGGAAAAAAAAAAGAGAGAGAGATTTAGACGAGACGTGCGGCTATGATTGAGAATGAACGTCTTTCATTCAAATGCATGAAGACGGATCATTAAATAATGAAACACCGTGGCGTTTCAAAACGACCGAGCTCGTATAGAGCGGCGATTATTACTTCCGCGTTTCCCGCATAAGGTAACACGGGAATTGACTTTGCGATCCCATTAGATCGCGAAAAAAAATGGTTTAATCCTCTACTCTTTCTCGCGCGATGCGTGAAGTATCGTGGGTGAGCTGGAGCGCGAAAACGCATTAGGGCGGAAGTACAATAATTCTTGCGCGGTTAATAGGTAGGCGATCGCCACGTATTGACCTCGATAGACCAATTACACATATACCGCTCGTACATTTTGCGCGATGACTTGCGCGATATAACGTCGGTGTGCGCGCGCGCGCACACCGCAATGCGAGAAATACGATTCCTGGCGCGGCGGCGCTGGGCATTAATAAACCCGTAAAAATGTTTCCCGATAATTCGAGCGGTCTTGGTAGTCTCGGGTAGTCTAGTTCTTACGCCAGTCCGATATAACCGGCTCAGACTCGCGCGGCTTTTCCAATTATGTTTTCTCGCGTCGGGGGCCGCGACTATTGCGGAAGTGCGGAGGATTTTCTTTGGTTACATTGTGTTCCGAGGCGCGCAACATTCGACCAGCTGCACGCCGTGGTCGCGGACCGGCGCTGCTTCACGTGTCGACGAGTAAAACAAACGGATCGTTACGATAGTGGCAGGTAGGAACGGAGTGCCGGAGTGCGCGAAGGTGGAGCAATAAGAGGCGCACGGCCTCGTTAACTCGTCGTTCCACATCATTTGCTCGCGCGAGCACGGCCGCGATATGGCGCAATATCGCTTTATTAGAAAGTAATAACAGTCGTGGTAGAAACAAAGAGTAAATTTATATCGAGCTCGTACGTAAGATGTGCCGAGCATCAAGATATATCACCCAGTCGTTCCTGTATCAAGCGTCGTGGCGCCCTTTTCCGGTTTCGAACGTGCGCGCTGCGCTAGTTGATCTCGTTTCCTGACCGCGGTTGATCACGAAGGGCTAACCCCATTTCCTGTCGAGTGCTGCGATGGGCAGATAGAGATCTCGATGTTGCTGATCGCCCGGTGAATTTTCTCGCACGGACAAGAAAAAGGAAAGTCTCGCTCGTTGTATTCAATTTTCGTCTCCCGTGTTTAATCAAGATGGCGGGATATAAATTCTAATCTAAGCAGAAGAGCGTAACGTAACTTCAAGAAGATTTCATCGCAATCACGCCGTATATTATCTGTACGCCACCTTATTTACCTGTCGACTAGCGTGAATGATAAAACGCCTGACAACGACTTTGATATACGCCATACTATCAGCTATCAATAATCTCCGTCGTTTGCGACAGTATACCGTCATTACGATATAATAATAAACGTTAGCAACATTGATTCTCGGTAAACGAAGGGGCATCGCTTGACCTGAGATATACCGATAGCAGGAAGTTGCTTACTCATTCTTTGTCTTTCTTAATCCCGAGAGGCTGAAAGACCTTCCTCCCGTAAACGTGTGCACGAGCTAATAAACGACTAATAATTAATTATTACTACTAACTGGCATTTACGTTAGCTCGAAGTTGAAAAACGTTTACGGTGTACCAATTACCATTACAATAATTAATTACCTAACAATTAATATTTCAAATTATCCGGAGTAAACGCATCAATGCATATTAAAAAATATTTAAATAAAGAATATATATAAAAAAAATAGCTTCGAATTTTGGAAAAGTGAGAGATCCAGTGTTTTTGCTTCTGTTAGATAAAGCTATTTTTTGCAAATATAAAACATAAATTATAATATTAAATTATCAAATGTGGAAATACATTTATAAAATCTTTCAATAAATTTCTAGTCCAGTAACATGTCCTGTACATGAAGACGGAGATCCTAAACTTTTTGAATATTTATATTATTGATAGAATACATGTTTGTCGCATCTGTACATGTAAAAGTTTACTCGTGCCATTGATATCGCTTCCCATAATAGGAAACGACTATCTATCGCATAAATGTGGACGATCGTAAAATAAACGAGCGAACGCATCGCGCAAGTCAATTGGAATTTCTCTGCCGGTTGATTTTATTAATCCTGGATCGAAGATCGAAACGATCGTCGGCGGCGGAAACGCGCAGGGGCGGCAGCGTCAGTGACGGTGCAGCATTGCGTCTCGTCTAACCAGAAATTTGCCAAAAGTTCGGCTTTCCGGTATGTCCGTCACGTAACCGGGCCGCGATACGAAGACTCTCTTCCATTTCACAACCGGTTTGAATGAAATTGGAAACATTTCTCAACAGCCACGTCCGTATACGTAAACACGTAAGGGAGGAGTGTATACCCTTCTACATACGTGGGGATGAACTGGGAGTGAAAACGGGAGGGGAGGGGGAGGGGTGAGAGCCCGCGGCCGACTTATGAAGCAGACAAGGGGAGATCAGGTTGAGCCGTGCCGTAAAAGCGCGGGCGGCGAGCCTTACGATCTGACTGATCTGATGCGGTACATTTATGACGGGCTCCTCTTTCCCGTCCTTTCCCATCGTCGACGTCATTGCCGCTGAAGGAGACTTATCGTCTCTGCGCGGCACCAGATGCCGCGGATACAGCCCATGTTTCTTTTCCCCTGAGTAGCGTACATTTCCTTTTCCTCCTCTCTCTTTTTCTTCTCTGCCTCTCAAACTCGCGTGTCCCCCGAACGCTTTTCTCTTCGTCCTCTCCTCCGTCTTCGATCCGCTTACGCTTCTTCTGCCGCGGCTCGAATGCGGTTCGAACCGCGCTCTTGCTTTTCCCCCGCGGGAGACTGGACCTTCCGCTACTCTTTCCGCGCGGGATGACGTTGGGTTAATAAAGTTCCGCTCGTTCCGCTAGATGCGGGCAGGCAAAGAAACGGCTAAATGAAGCTGTACGTGGAACGAAGCATATTTTAATGTCTTACTTCCCGCCGATAATATACGTGCTCGGTGTGTAAATACGATGAACTTGGTAATGCGCCGCAGAAACCAGTTTTCGACGAGCGTATGAGCGTGGCGCTAACCCTGTGTTCTCCGGGCTTTCTCAGTTTCAAGATGAGTTCAGCTTCGGGAAGAACGCGTCGAGGCTTGACCCTACGAGCGTGTAGCGAATGATCTGCTGAATGAAGAGAAATCAATGACGAGCTGTATGCACGGACGTAGCTATGAATATATTACGTCTGGCGTTCCTTAGTGAAACGATAATCGCGAGATTATTCTGCGGACGACGGGCCTAACGAGCGAACACGAGTGATTA